ATGATGTTTAACTGAGGCGGTTGGTGTCAGGCGGCTTAGTCAGAGCTGACACAGCGGACCTCGGGCGGCTGGAACCTCCAACATTTCCAACATCAAACATCCATCACTAACTACATGTATGTACATGTACATACATACAATCACAACAGACGACACAAAGCAGCATCGGAGCTCTGCAATAACCTCGATGTAGCTAGGTCCCCGTGGCTGCTGGGAGGACTGAACCTACTGCAGGTTGTCCTTTGCCTTTCATCATTTCATCATACTTCCACCGTCTCTGCCGAATTCTTTGTCCCTGACATGGAGTTTTTATGGCCTTGCTCGGAGGCAACACCCAAGACCCGTCGGCAGCGCAACCAGAGCAGCGCTTCTGTCTGCCTTGCTAGCTTTTCACGCTTTTAGTGCTTGACTGTTTGTTCACTAGGTGATGATTTTGGGTGACGCAGCTCGCGAAGTAACAGTTTTCACCACCTTCCCTTTTATTTTATTTTTTATTTTTTTTGCTAAGCAGTCATTCATATTTTGTATTCTGTGGGGATGTTTCCGTATGCCTGCCTAAACACACTAAGAAATACAAGGAGGATTGATTTCTGTTTCCCAGGGAAAACCCTCGTTAGCATTTCCTGAAAATGGCTTCTCATATCTCGAGACCTCGAACCTGTGCAATACCAATTATAGACCCCTCTGGCCAGCTAGTTTCTGTGGATGGTGTGAATGGGGCTGCTACAACAAGCCCACCTTCACATAGTCATCCGAGGATTCAAACAAATGGGGGTCTTTCGATAGCACCAAGTAATTCCTCGCGGCAAGATGTCCCGGTTCAAACTTATTCAAATAGCTATACAGCTACAGCATTGAATTCAAGGTCGCAGAATGCCGTCGTTGGATTTCAAGGCCAACAACTCAACTATCTTGAACGAAGAAGGGAAGCATTCTCCGTCGATGAATCATACCAATTCTCTCATAATCCACAACTTCCGACATGGCCAAATCATAGACCGATGTACGACAGCACCAACCAGCTAGCGGGCCGCTCAACAACTTGGAAGCCGGATGTGTATGCCCGTAGCTATGTTCCGGCGTATCTCATTGCCATTAACCGATCTCCAGCGGTTGATAGGTATAGCACGCAACTGAAGAGCATCGATTTTGCGGCATATGTTGCCCGGTTCTCAGGGACTTCGTTTTTGGAGCCATTGCCCGTTGAAAATTTACCAACGCTCAAGAGCGTGCCCGTGTCAATCTCCCGCCACACCAAGAATCTGTCGCCATCCTCTTATCTTTATTATTTTGACGAATGCCTTCTATTGGAAGGGATGAACTATTCCCAAGAGCTAGCAGGACACAGTCTCTACAACGTCTTACTTACATTGACGGATGCCAGACAGAATCTGTACAGTCTCCATGTACCAGGCCTTAAGGATGGCGCCCCAAAAGTTGGCCTGGGAGACACCGTACTTGTTCGACAGATAGTACCTTTCCCACAACTTGCCCAGCAAGGGGCTGAATGGCTGAGTCATAACAAGACAAACCTCACGGGGTCCATTGCGCCAGGCTTTTCAGGTCACCAACATCACGCTGTTGTATGGGGCATATCCGTGGCGAAGGAAACGCTCATTATCCGGGTCGATCATCTTCTCCCAGCATCTCGACTCTGCAATATCCAATTTACTGTCCAACCAGATCTGTTTGTACCTCTCTGGAGAGCTGTTGTTGACGTCACAGATGGCAGACCATGGGAACACGAAGATGTCAAGTCGGAGATGGCTGGGTCAATTGAAAACAAGCAAAATTGGCTTCGTCATATGCTCTTTCCAGAGCCAAGTGATGCTGCTTTGCAAACGACGCTCCCCAAAGGAGCTTTCGAACACAGCTGGGTCGATAAGGACCTGAATTACGAGCAGATGAAAGCAGTCGATTCTATAATAACTCGCAATTTTGGTACTATTCCATTTTTGATATCTGGGGTACCAGGGTCTGGTAAAACAAAAACCGTGGTTGAATGCACGCTACAGCTCCTGCGTCGAAATGATAAAATAAAACCTCATATTTTGCTCTGTGCGCCATCCAACCCCGCAGCCGACACCCTGGCTATGCGGCTGGCTAAGCACTTGCAACCTCACGAAATGTTCAGACTTAATGGATGGTCAAGGTCATTTGCAGAAGTCCCTGACCAGCTGTTGCCGTACACTCATTCGGAGAACGATCTTTTTTCAATACCCGAGTTCAAAATTATGATGAACTACAAAGTCGTGGTGACAACCTGCCAGGATGCCCATATGCTTGTTAGGGCACGGCTGACTAACCAGGATCTAATGAAGTTGGGATACGAGATGTTGAGTTCTATCTTACCAGGGATAAAACCAAACCCGCGGGATATGCTTCACTGGACAGCCTTGATCGTGGACGAAGCAGCGCAAGCCACTGAGCCTATGGTTTGTGTCCCACTGACGGTGGTCTCAACGCCATTGTGTGTCAAGGAAAGCGTTGACGTGACCAACGCAAGGTCCACCTTACCGTTATTCATCATGGCAGGAGATGAGCACCAGCTCGGACCTCGAGTTTCAAATACAAACACAGCGTTCTCAGTCTCTTTATTCGAACGCCTATTTTCCCTCCCTATTTACGCCGATCACCCCCTCTCTCGCCGAAATGCCGGACCGTATAAGAAGCTAACGCAAGAAATGCTTCCAATTCCACGACCAGCATTCACCAATCTTACCCGCAACTACCGGTCTCATACCTCCATACTTGCTATGCCATCCGTTTTGTTTTACAGCGACACCCTCATCCCCTCAGCCACCCCAGCACACCCAGATGGACCGGTTCCATCGTGGCCAGTATGGAAAGCACCCCATCGCTGGCCAATGTTATTCGCCTGTAACACCTCTCCCGACGATGTGGAAGAAATCCTTCACAGCCCCGCCGGCAGTGGCCTTTTTAACCAGGGCGAGGCTCTCAAAGCTCTACAATTCGTACAATCTCTTCTCGACCATTCCAACAGCCTAACATACCCTTCTAATACCACCAGCACCGCAACTCCAACATCCTCAACACCGCCAATGCGCCCCATCACCCAACAAGAAATCGCCGTTATAACCCCTTTCCTGACCCAAGTAGCCCACCTCCGCCGCCTCTTCCGCGATCACAACCTTCACTCAGTCAACATTGGGCCCGTCGAGGCATTCCAGGGTCTAGAAACGCGTTTCCTGATAATCTGCACGACGCGCACACGCGCCGAGATGCGATTTATAGAGCAGGACCAGTCATTCGGGCTGGGGCTGGTTGGCGAAAGGCGCCGGTTCAACATGGCCATGACGCGGGCAAAGGAAGGGTTGATAGTCATAGGCAGTCCGGACGTTCTTGTTGGCGTGTCGAAGGATGAGTCTTGGCGGGCATTTCTTAGCTTTTGTGCGAGGAATGAGTGTTGGGATGTCGATGAGAGTAATGACGAGGTGCGAGAGAATATGTGGGCGTGGGCTGATAAGTTAGCTGGCCATCGGAGGCGGGGGCATGGGAATATGAATGTGAATGCCCTCGTTAATGGCAATGGGAATGGGAACAGGAATGCGGGGAATGGAGAGGATTTTGAAGAGGAGGATGATATACGGCTTGAGGGATATGTGAGTCGTTTGGAGCGGGGTTTGCTTTATGCGCAGAGCGCAGGGGAAGATTGTGATGGAGATTACGGGTCTGTTGACGGAGAGGATCCGACTGATGCTACTGGTGGCGATCGCCGGAGAGGGAGTCAGTGGGGCAAAGGGAAGAGGAAGGGTCGCCTGGGCAAAGGGTGGAGTACGGCGGATGACTATGATTCTGCGATGTGGACGGCGGGGATCGCGGCTGAAGAAGTACTACGAGGTTCGCTTGATGACTGACTTTACTTCGCTGGGTCGGTTTTATGATGCTACAAATGGAGTATATTTGGTCGGTGGCGGGAAATAGTGTTTTCCGCTCTTATTTTGCGTTTCTTTCTCTCTTTTCTTTTCTCTTTTCTCGCCTTTTTTACATGTCAGTGGATTAATTTTGTCTTCTCCTCTATTTCTATCTCGATATGTTTTAAAATTTGTCCAAGTTTACACTTTTTGACCTGCAAACACCAGATGAATGTCGGTGGGTTCGGCTGTTGAGGGCGGTAGCTTTGTTAATTATGTGTTTTTGTTTATTTTTTATTCTTTTATTCTTCTTTCTTTTCAAGGACAGGCACACGTATGGGCGACAGATGTGAGGAGAGGAGGAGGAGGCAATGTAGGATGCTATCCTAAAATCATGGATTGATGGAAAGGGGCAAAAAAACTAAAAAAAAGAAAAAAGAAAGAAAAAAGAAAAAAGAAAAAGAAAAAGAAAAAGAAAAAGAAAAAGTGAAGAAGAGAAAAAACCTCAACCAAAAACAAGGGGGAAAAAATTAAAATAAAATACAAAAGTCCTTAAATAGAAAATAGAGAAGTGGACAGAAATGAAATGGGGAAGGAAAAGAATAAAAATAAAATAAAATGGAAAACCAACAAGAGCCGGGTGTTGATGTATGGAATTGTTCAGCCCCTTAACAACCAGTTAGCGTAGCTATCCTACATCCAAGAACTTTTCACAAAAAGAGTGTAGTTACGTAACTTGATACTGACAAACTCAAATCCCATTACGCAGTGATAGGAGCTCAGAAAGGAAGAAAAAGAACACACAACAAAGTGATTCTGCTGCGTACGCGACGTGTAGGCCCAAAAGTAGTTAAATACTGTCCGATTCTCTTCTAGAAGGCTAGGCGTTAACCCCTCTCTCTATATATACATATAAACAATCCTATGTGATCGCGGAAAGAGCGAACGCAGGGGCTGTGTGAGCGGACGGCGGGAACCCTCCCCAGATGTCTGTCTTGTTTCCGCCTGACTGTCGGGCGCCGTGCTTTCCGCCCTGGATGCCCGGGGAAATTGTTGACAACCGTTCGCTGCCGAATCCATCGTGCCCAACTGTAGGAAATCGATAGGCTTCTTCTTGGAAGCCCCCTACATCCACTCCTTCTTGTTCCCTGGAGCGGAAGCTCCACCCATTGCCAGAAGGCCATCTGCTTTAATGCGATAGTAAGGGGTAATTCGCTGCTTCAGGTCCCCGTAGCGGCCGTCTTCGTTCTTCCAGACCTCGGCGATTACTATGGCATGCTTCTCAGCGGAAGCCTGGGTGTATGCCTGGGAATCTGAAGGAAGGACTGGGTGGGAATGGGTGGAGCAGAAGCGAAGCTCCAAGGAACAAAAAGGGGTTGGAGTAGGGGGCTTCCGCCACAACTCAATAACCATGACCTCATTGCTCTGCTAGCTATGATGATGGTGAAGAGAAGAGAAAGCTCTCTGACATGCGCTGCACGAAATATAGGAATATTATCTCGCTTATTGACTGCATGTGGTGTTTCACATGGCTGTGGTTAAGCGTGAGTCATTAGTCTTGATGCTGTATCATCATACTTGATAAGGTGTAGTTCTCATGTAAACGTCGCCATGATCGTCGCATCTAGTGTGATAGGCAACGTTCCCCTCGTTCCCTGCCTCTCCATTCTGTTCATTGAGGGGTTGGAAGTTCGAGCCTTCTCAGGACGCCACTTGGTAAACAATAATCTCCTTAAAGGCGATAAGAACTCAGAAAGGAAGAGAAAGTACACACAATAGTTCTCATCGATGATCCTCGACGAGCCATATAAAGACTCATGTCGACGGGGTAGTGGGAAGCGATTGTGGATGTGACTGTGACTACAGCTCGAGACTGAGGTTTTCTCTAGGACTCACGCTCTGATGGCCAAGGGGTGTGGAGTGTTGGGCTTGGTAAATGGCAGAGTAGGGAACCATTCCAATGGACAACAGAGTCGACAAAGGGGAGGTCAAGGCCCTCAACCTAGGGCCGACGTTGCCACAACGGCAGGGATTTGGCCTGTTCTTATTTTTGAAACAATCAATTGAATCCTACCGACGCTTCCAGTTTGCTCGTGTAATACGGGATATCAAAATAGGGGATATCAAGTGTCTTGACAACGTCAGCATCTTCAGTACGAGAATGCACATATACCAAGGCCACTTTATCTATTAGTTGATGAGTGAACTTGTGAAGCTCAGATAACGGGATTTCTCGGTGGTTGATGTAAGGGGTGCGGCTATTTTTGGGATTATTATATCGCATGCGAATCATGATGACGGCGGTTGGCGCCCCCAACGCCCACTTATGGGGCTTGGCAACGGGGTCACAATCAGAGATAATTCATCTGGGAATTGCTCAGTCTGCTTGCAATAGGTGTCTAAGCAGTGCTTCAGCCCACTGACTGGTGTCCATATCATCCCTGTCAGGAATGATTGTGACGTGTTTCGTAAATTTGCAAGTTATGTCTTTGACATATTAGATTCACCATCCAGTGTAGGGCGGTATGAAATTGGTTTGTCATCGTGTGATGTGGGATATCTGTTGATGGTAGTATTTCTTGCCTCTGCATCCAGGGAGTTACTCCTTAATGTCCCGTACGTCCCTTCAGCCTGCCCTTCCAAAGGAAAAAAAGGATTGTGCAGAGATGTGGCGAATTCCTGTGATTCACTTCATCATGTACTCTCAAATAGACATGCCGAGTTAATAATTACCGTTGAGATAAGATCTCGATTAAAAGCAATCACCATTGATGAGCTGTTTGGTCGGGGTTATCTTCTTCGTGATATTTGATGAAAAATAATCGTTCTTTTTCAATTGCATAGCCCAGTAGAAGGAGTATTGATAATTGGATGTGGATAAGATCCATGATACTGAACATGAAGATAATTTCGCTTCAGTTGATCAGAACAATGCGAGTGATAGTCCTCTAATAACCGACATTGATTAAAGCGTTGACAACGGCATGCCGATTTCAATTAGGCTTACGAGACATCAAGCACAATTGATATTGATTTAACTTGGTTTGATCGTTTGAGGGCATGGGGAACCAATCTCCATTCGATTTCCATGTATGCAGATGTTTCTTTCATCCTCTAATGATAAACAACATTTTTGTTCTCAGCGATCCTTTGGTTGTCCATGCTCACAGTCCTCCATGTTCTCTGTCTCCAAAAACCAATCATGGTGTTTTCCAATTGCGTTTGGGATGTTCGACCAGTTCTGTAATCTGTCAGAAAATCTGAGAACCTTTGCTTTCCTTCTCGAAAGAACCAACCTTCCACAATCCCTTCCGCTCAAGCCAACATTGCCTGAAAAATTGATTAGCACTGTTGCGTGTATGCTTCTGAGATAGACTGTATTCAAGGGGATATTTTATCCACGTAGGACGTAGGGTTGAGCGGAGGCCAGGCGCATGCTCAACATCACTGCCGCGATATCACATGCCGTATACGCACTAGAACCCACGCCGATCTGGTACCCCAAGGGGAAGGGGCCCTCTACGGATACACCCTTCAAGCAGTAGCTAGGTCATCCAAGGTGACAAGTAGCGAGTACAGGATAGAGCGAGTGTAGATGGTTGTGCATCTAATATGTATGAGGACAAAGTCCCATTAGATATAGAGAGTCGGCACTCAATGCGTTGGTAATAAGTGCTGTAGGTTCCAGGCCGAGAACTGTCTAACAACCGGTGTAACTGATGGTTGCCCCTATGGGTTTATCATCAAAAAGAAGAATATAATGCACAGAGCAGGGACATAACACCATTGAAAGGTTCCAGAGATGAGGTTTATTATAGCTTGTTAGTTTTGCGATGAGTGATGGGATGCGGCATAGTTAACTTGGGATTAGCTGTTATGTCAACGGCGGTCGAAATATGGCCGGGAACTCGGCCCAGGATTCGTGTTGAAATATTCCAGATAGCTGAGTACGCAGAAATTATATTCTGGATCACTCTCGCACTAGCTGGACATGTATCCTAGTAGCGTCTGATGATTAAATACGGAGAAGATGAGACATCTCTCCCTTCGCCCTTCATAGCTCACCTCCACACTTATAACACCATACTGGCCCCTGTCATTAACTGATTCGAAAAAGCTCGCAGTAGCCCTTTACTAGTTTCCCTCGCAAGGGATGCAGCAAGAAGATCTCGCTGCATGCATGGTATGGCAATGCACAGCAGTGAATATCCGAAAAAAAGGAGATAGTGGAGCAAAATAATACTGTCTTTTTTGTTGAATAAGAATCTCATGGCTGTCTGAGAGGGATGCCAGCTTTTGCTCGTGAATAAATCCGGAGATTGTGACAGACGTTATCAACTGAATGATTTAGTCTTTTCATCCAGGGACATCCCCGTTCTCATTCCAAAGCGCGCTTCCGCACATCTATTCCCGGGGGGGGGGGGGGGGGGTTTGTAGAGGCTTGCCCCATATAGTTTCGAGTTGCAAATTCACTGTTGCGGTGACAGCAAATGATCATCAGTAGGGCTCGCTAGAATGTAGTCAGTCATCAAAAAGTTCCCTGATAGACAGCCCATGTCAGGCGAGTCTAAAGGATAGGATCTCCTCATTAATAGCCTTAATACCTGCTGGGCGTTTAAACTGGATGGACTCTGTCATAATATTCTGATAGGAAATATTTAAAATGATCTCTGCGTCCCGCAATCATGCAAATGCGACACCTGTCCGCCATAGAATCATTAATAGGGATGTTATTGTGGATCAATCTCGCTTCAAAACCAGGATCAGACAAGATCTCCCAGAATTCACCGGTTCCTGCCGCAAGAATGACTCTAGAGGCTATTATGGATAAGGATGACATTGGACAATTCCATCTCCCATCTTTGCTTGCTTGGCAGGTACTCAATTCACGAAGAGCTCCATAGCCTCTTCTAAGGTAGGAGAAGAATCTTTGTCCATGGGGTACAATCGTTTGAGTCTCGGGCGTAGGGGTTGTGATGCTGGTCTTGGTGGCTTTGACAGGTCGCCGGCAAAGGTTCATCCAGCTAGTCATTTCGTGGACATGGAGAGGGGATATAGGAGTGGATGGGTGAATCCTACTAAAGAAATATATTTGTATAAGACGATGATGCTGTAGGATGGTAATGAGAGCGACGGAGTCCAACTCAGGGGCACTCCTTAGGCCGTGTGTCACAACTGAGATTTAGCTCGTGGCGAGGTTGGAACAAAGAGAGCAGGTATAAACGCCACAGCTATTAGTGGGAGCCGTGTCTGGTGGCATGTGGAGTTTAAATAGTTCTCGCAGTAATTTTCGAGGTTGGGGCCTCCGCTTCAATGGACCCTCTGATGAGTTTTCTTTGCCTGGCTGAGGGGAGGTAGGAAACGGTAGCTTTCTTCAGTCAAGGCTGGTGAACAGGACGAGGCCGTCAATAGGGAATTAGATCCAACTTCGTGCTTTTAGCGGGTAGAAACAGCTCGACTCGACATCGTGACGAATAGCAGCTTTCGTTGCGGTAACCTAAGCGGTTGCTTTTTATGGCGAAACACAACCTGCGTGAGAGGGAAATTATATGTCAAAGCTCCTCGGAAAGAGGATACAGCCTACCATAATGTGGTAATCAAGGTATTGAATAACTTATTATACGCTAGACGGTGTCCCCAGCCGTTGCGCAAAAGCGCGATCTTAGGGGTAGTAATATATGTCAATCAATTCTCCCGGCCTGCCCGTCATGGGAGGTAAACCTGTCTAAACATCGGTGTATAATAAGAGGGGGAATTTGGGAGAGATTCCCTGGAATACTCTCGTTGAATGAAAGAGTCAAGACGAATATATGATGAATATAGGGAAGGTAGTGAACTACTACTAGTAGTTAGTTGAATTGCTGCGGTGGCGACCTAGTGACCAGGCATTGACAGTGATTGACGGTGATTGACGGTGATGACGGTAATGACGGTTGGTAGTTATATATGTAATAATAATAATGATTGATCTGAAGTTGAAGTAAGAAGAAGAAGATCCATGGATGCCAAGACCCTTTCCAAAGCGGGCTAGACTGTGGCACTGCCAAGATGTGGCTGCACGGCTTGATCGCTAAACTAGGCCCGGTGGCGGAAAAATAATAGCCCGGAGGCTGCGGTCACGGGGACATATGCTTGGCATTTGAACGGTGAATCTGAACATCAACAAAACATCACGAAGTAAATCATTCCCAACGTCAAGACAACGGCCAGATACCGGATATGAGGATCAGGGAAGACCACATCTACTACTAAAAGCCTGGCGGCAACAGGGAATAGTAAAGGACAATCCAGGATTATTGTGTATTTCCCAGCCAATCCGCTGCTGGCCCCGTCCTCTTGAGCCCGGTCTGGCCTCACATAACTAGTTAGCTGCTGTTCCCAGCCACTTCTGGCACCAACCACGCCAATATCAAAACATCCCGGCAGCGAGTCATTCTTCATTATTCATATATCTCCACCTCCTCCACCACCATTGCTCCAATTCATGGACAGGAATCCTCTCTCTTCCTCTCTCCTCCTCTCTATTGCCTGGCTGTTCTGGGCTATTGTCCCCTCACTCTTTTAACCACGGACGGCCTACACTACGACCTTATTCTCGCTCTCTTTAACTGGTCTTCGCCAACCGCGTCCCTCTAGCGCTCTGGTCCTGGTCGGGACTGATTCGTCTTCTCTGTCGTCATTGGCCCCCCGGCTGTGTACTCTCACTTGAAAATACTCTTATTTCACCTCCGCCTGCTTCGTCCTTTTCCGGTCGAAAGCTGCATACGACAACAACGGACAGCACCGGGCTTGTCGTATTTATTGCTTATTTCTCTAATTTTCCTCGTTGACCGACATTTGAGGTTGAAAAAAAATTAATGAATACGTTCTTTCGTTTTTTTAATTTCTGTTTACTTTTGGATGCTTTGGAACACCAGGAAAGTCAATCAACAACAAAATAGACAGGGCAACTGGTACCGTACATGAAATTTCCCCGCCGCACATCATCATGGTTTCCAAACTGTCAAAACCAGCGCAGGCGCCTCAGCATACTGCTGGCATCTTTGCAGATATGTCTGTGGATGGCCCCCGGATAGGGACGCTGGTCGCTATCATCGACCGCGCCAAAAATTTGCCCAACAGGAAAACAATGGGCAAGCAGAATCCTTACTGTGCCGCGCGGCTGGGGAAGGAGGCGAAGAAGACGGAAACTGATATGAGAGGCGGCCAGACCCCAAAATGGTTAGTGGACGGAGATTCACTTTACCAGGTTCTCTTTTGTTTTGTTTTTTTTGGTGGACTAGATCATATTTCTAACAAATGGCTTTCCCTTTTTCTACCTTGTTTAGGGATCAAGAGTTACGGTTTACGGTACACGACTCACCCGATTACACACAGTTAAAAGTCTCCGTCTTCAATGACGATAAGAAGACAGACCTCATCGGTGAAACATGGATTGATATTAAAAACGTGATTATCCCAGGCGGTGGGCAGAATGACTTTTGGCATGCATTGCAGTACAAAGGGAAATATGCGGGGGATATTAGGATCGAGTTGACCTTCTACGACACCCGCCCTAAGGATGAAACGGTTATCGAGCGGAGAAAGGAAGCAGATAAAGTCGAGGCAAAGACAGAGGCGGCACAATCAGGCGTTTCGGGTCCTCGTCAAGCCAAACCGTCAAAGAGAAGACCTCTGCCCGCTGACCCTACTGGCTCGTCTCCGGCCCGCCCATCTTCATCCGATCGCGTCGCTCCTCCTCCATCTCGAGAGAATCACCCAATTCCAACGCGACAACCAATACCAGAGCCGCCCCAGTCCCAACCACTAGCCCAGGCACAGCCACAACCGCAGCTACATCCGCAGCCAGCCCCCCCGACGCAAAATCCACGGACATACGAAACTCCTGATGATTTCAATCGTTCATGGGGGCCTCCGCCCCCTAACGCTGCGTCGAAATACTCTACTCCGATACGCCAAGCTTATCAACATACGCCGCCTCGGGAGGCTGAAGAGCTACCAGCCGATCAGTACGATCGCCGATCTCAACCCCCGATGCCTTTGCCTCGGGAACAAGTCTATTTTCAAGAACCAGAATATAGCCACAATGTTCACAATAACCACCACCAGTCGCTTGACCATGGCCATCAGCATTCAATCGAGCAAAACGGATATGAACATCACCCCTCACCCATCACCCATTCCCGCGATTCTTACCAGACACTTCCACGGCAAAATAACTACATTATGCCAGTACCAGAACATTACAGTGGCGGCTCACCATCATATCCACCTCCTTCTCGCGGTTCTCCTTACGGCGCTGCAGAAATGCGCACACAACCTCCAGAGCCTCCCTCACAATCTCTAGTCATGACTGGGCCTAGTGATCGCCATAACCACTACCACCAATATAGCCCCTCTCAGCCCAACAACGACGTGTTCCGTGATAGCCCCCTACGCCACTCTGTCAACCAAACAGACCGCCGCCCTCGCCATGAATGCATGCAGCCGCACGTTCATGACGAAGATGAGGAAGGACCGCCCCCTCCGCCCCCAGTACATCGCCAGGTCTTCCAACAACAACACCAGCAGCAGCAACAACAACAGCATCAGCAGCAGCACGCACCACCATCACCACCACCGCCGCCAGTGGAGTACTCTCAAAACGAGATGGCACCCATACCAATGCCGGAGCCTCTCAATCTGGGCGCAGGCAGGACCTCACCAATGCCAGTCGACGATCAAGTGAAATACATCCCCTACTCTCCAAATTACCAGAACCAGAGTTTCTCATCTGCAGAAAGGGAGCCAATTTATTCAGCTTCCCCGACACCTTCGTATAATAGTATTTATGGGCATGATAGGGGACGTTCCCAGGATCGTCCTAGCACGTCAAACGGGGAGATTGTCCCCTCGGCTTTGGTACCCGGCTACGAAGCATCTGTTGCAGATGAGCTAGACAGAAACTTGTATAATGGCCAGCTCGAACGTCATCAAAACCATGTCCCGCCACCACCACAGCCCACGCCTCCTTCTCAGCTCGTGCGCGCATCTCCAAGTTCGATGCTTGAACGGCCTCCACGAACAAGTCCTGACCTCCGACATGTTCCTCCCCGCAAATCTGTCAGCCCACATCCACCTCCCCCGAAGGAGCTCAGTGTTCCAAGTGGAATGCCTTTCTCGCCAGACTGTTATGACATTCTGGACCCGCGCACCGCAAACGCCGCCGCCCTTCAACAGGCCGCTCCTGCTTACGAAACGCCCGAGGGCGCCATGGAAGCTGCCCGACAGCGGGAAGTGGAGAAACTTCGGGAACTAGGGCCCATAATCGGCAATGATGGTCGGGTCATTGACCCTTCCGACCATCTACCCACGGATACTTGGGCGCCGGAGCCAGAACGTAAATCGCGGAAACCAGAAATAGTCGTCCGATTCAAGCATGCACCACAGAGCTCGACGCGGTTCTCACCGCGTGAATCAGCTGCGTCGCCACCAACTAAATCTTCATCGACCTCTTCTTCCTCCTCCGCACTGGTTATGAAAGCACGACCACACTCCATGACCCCCGTCCAATCATATTCGCAGGCACCTGCGACCATACCTCTCCACCAACAAACCATCAACTCCTCTACCACTCCACAAGCCCGCGCCCGCCTCCAACAAACGTCCCGCCCACACTCATATATACAACCCACGAATAACTCCAGCAGTGGCAGAGCCAGTGGCAAAGACCTCATCTATACTCACAGCCATAATCATACCACCAGCCAACGACCTAACAACGCCCTCCCCCTCCGGGAGCGAGATCCGTACGGGTATAACGGTAATACTAGCGCAGGCACCCCGCAATACGCCAACCACAGCCCGAACCACAGCCCACACAACTCCATCTCCACCGCCCCTATCCCAGTATCCCACCATTCTCACTCGCCCTCAAGCCAACAACTTACCCGCCATCCTCACTCCCATTCACACTCTCATTCACACGGCCACTACCATTCTCATTCTCCAACATCAAGCTCGATATCCACCGGGCCACCTATCCCCGCGAAAGTCCCTGTGCACAGCAGCAGCGGTGGCGGTGGCGATGTAGGGGAGCTAGACGCGTTAAGTGAGGAGATACGGCGGATTGATATTGGAGTTGGTGGAGTTGGGAATGCGGCGAGGAGGGGGAGGGGGAGAATGTCGTATGTCGGGAGTGGTGGTCCGGGGCCGGGGTATGGGGGGTAATGTGTGTGGCTGGATTGGGTTGGTTGGGGTTCATTGTTGTTTGGTAAGGAACCCCCAGGCACTGACTTTGATCGGCAAGGAACCTCATTCTTTATTTGATTTTTTGGACTTATTTTGGTATATACGAGCGGAAATGAAGAGATGAGTGGATGATTGGAACGCATTGTGTGACATGGTGTCTTTTTCTTAATTTTCCCCCTTTTCTATAGACTGAGGGTGGTGTGGTTGGTATATGACAAAAACATATTCGGCCGGCATTTCTTTCTCAATTTTCATTTTTTTTATTTTATTTTTCTATTTTTTTAATTTATTATTATTTGTGTCTATTCCTCTCTGTTTGTTCCTTCTTTGTCTTCTCGATTACATATATCCCCAATTCCCAACCGGATTTAACATTTTGGGCTGGAATTTTGTTGCATCGGGTGGATGGATGGCGGGTTTTGACCAGACTACCTTCCTACGTCTGGGAGATGGAAGACGGGAGAGAAATTCTTATAGAAAACTGATTTTATGTAGATCTCTTTCGGTTTTGATCTTCAGCTCTCTTTTAACTATCCTCGCACTAGTCTATTTTCCACCTCCTGTATTTGTTGTGTGATTTCCTTTTAAATATTTTCATATTTCTTATTATCTATATCTTTTTCTATTTGTGAATATCTGTTAGTTACTGTAGATATTGAGTCAGCATTTTAATATTGAGAATGAGTCTGTTTGATGACTTGTGGTTGGTTTCCATCTTGTGCCGGATGTGTTCCTGACTCAGAGTGTTTAACCAAATATCAACTGACACCTCCTGTAAACCTCCTGCAGTGCCATGAGAATGATAACCATTTCTTTATATCCTGCCTCCTGTTTATGTCAATGTATTTATTGTATATACGAACCTCCGCAAGTTGTGGGGTAGGAACAACATTATCCCGCCCCGGCGAAATTTCTCCCGAGCTTCAAAAAAAAATAAAAAATAGTTCAAGCCGCAATTGTTTATCAGACAACACCAACACTAATATCTATTTCTATGCAATTGGCCTGCGAACTACTACGAGCCGGGAACCTCAGTAGCGCAATGTATCGTATACCTACCTGTTAAATCTTACTTAAAACTCCACGACTCCCCCAATCATTGATTCCCCAGCTCCAACCACCCACCTCACCTCACCGCAACCATGGCGGCCCCCGTCCTCCCTCTCCCCCAAACGAAACTCCCCTCTATCCCTTCTACCCGCCTAACCCCCGAACAACAATACTGGCGCTCTTTTAAGAACCCTCTTCTCCTCCCCTCCCCCTCCAATAGCCCCATAAACCACATCTCCCAACCCTTCGCCTCCTCCTTCACCTCCTCAACCACCAACCCAACAGCAGCACCCCCAGACCTCTTTACCGTCGCAACCGGCGCCCGCGTCCAACTCTACTCAATCCGCACCCGCAAGCTCCTAAAAACCATAACCCGCTTCGACGATATCACCCGCTGCGCCTCCGTGCGCGCCGACGGCCGCATCCTCGCCGCCTCCGACGACAGCGGCACCATCCAGGTCTTCGACATCCACTCGCGCGCCATCCTCAAGACCTGGCGCGAGCACAAACAGCCCGTCTGGGCCGTGCAGTTCTCGCCCGCGGATCCCACTGCGCTGCTCAGCGCGAGCGACGACCGCACCGTGCGCCTGTGGGATCTGCCGAGCGAGAGTAGCGTGCGGACTCTGCTGGGTCATGAGGATTATGTGCGGTGCGTGGGGTTTATGCCTGCGGCTGGTGGGGGCAGGGGGACGGATTTGCTCTACTCGGGTGGATATGATGGGCTGGTGAAGGTCTGGGATTCGCGGGCGGGCCCGGGAGGGAGGAGTGTGATGACGTTTAAGATGCGGGGGCCGGTGGAGAGTGTGTTGCCGTTGACGGCGGGGACGACGATGCTTGCTGCGGCGGAAAATAAGATTGCGGTGTTGGATGTCGTTGCGGGGAAGCCATTGCATGTTATCAAGAGTCATCAGAAGACGGTCACGGCGCTGTCGCTAGCGTCGGGCGGGAGGAGGGTTGTCAGTGGCGCGCTGGATGGACATATGAAGGTGTTTGAGACCACGGGGTGGAATGTGGTGGGCGGGAGCAAATATCCCTCGCCGATTTTGTCGTTGGGCGTCATTGCCACGGGGTCGGATAGGGAGGACAAGCACATCGCCGTCGGCATGCAGTCTGGTCTGCTATCCATCCGCACGCGGTTATCGGGTGAGCAGAAGGTGCGCGAGCGCGAGCGGCAGAGAGAGATGCAGGCGCTCCTCGACGGGAAATTAGACGAGCACGACAAACGCGTGGCGAAGCAGCAGAAAAAGCGCGGAAAGGGGTGGGAGAAGCGCCTGCGCGGTATGGATTTTGTCGGGGAAGGGATTGATATCGTCATTGACGCGCAGGACTCGGCGGCCTCGACCCGGAAGCGTAAGCGGGAACAGCCCTGGGAACTCGACCTGCGCAAAGGCCGCTACGCCGCTGCTCTCGACGCCGTCCTGGCCTCCGCCAATAGCAACAATAGCAATAATAATAATAATAAGAGCACCGCGGCGAATAGCAAACTGAACACCCTAACCCTCCTCACGGCGCTGCGGCACCGCTCCGCCCTCCGCGCAGCGCTCAGCGGGCGCGATGAAGTCACGCTGCAACCCGTGTTGAAGTGGGTGTATAAATCCATCACGGACCCCAGGGTTGTGGATATGTGTGTGGAGGTTGCGATGAATATACTGGACATCTACTCGGGGAATTTGGGCCAGTCGGCCATTATTGATGGGATGGTTGAGAGGTTACATGCGCGGGTGCGGGAGGAGGTGGATCGGGCACAGCAGGCGTGGATGACGAAGGGGATGTTGGGGATGTTGAGTGTTTCTTGAAATGTTGATTTTGGTTTCTTTTTTACGTGCTGTTGGGATATCTCATTTTTATCGGATAGGTGTTTGGGAGTTTTGGATCCCCCGTTTTTTATTTCCCTCCCACTACATACTCGAGTGCATAGTGCATAGATTTATGTTTCTGTTTCCGTTTTTAGCGAATTCTGCTGGATGAAAAGGAGGAGAAAAAGCAACAGTGTTCATAATATAGATTCTGTTCTGAAATAGCATCCCCGGCCTATGTGAAGCCAAGAGTCATCATAATAATTGATTAAAAAAACATCCACCTCAAGGCCCTAGAAAGGAGGGCCGAGACAGATATATATGAGAAGAAGACATCGAGAAATGAAAATCATACACGTCGCCACTCACCCATAAATCACGCCAGCTTCTTCTACCATCAACAGTCCACACAGACATGGGGCAATTTTACCGTAGTTCCCCATTTAATAACCCTGAGCATACAACCTCGTAAACCCCTCCCCAGGCTCCGGCTGCAACCAGTTCCGCTCATCATACTTCCACCCTTCCGCCCCCTCAATGACATGAAACGTATACGCAAACCGGCTGATGTCGCTGGTATTCCGCTCACTCTGATGCAGCACGTTCCCATGAATGAGCACCAACGACCCCGCAGGGACCTCCAATAACTCAAAATCCTCGTCGCGAGGTACATAGGGCTCCTCTTCTTCCCCTCTCCCATTCCCATCATCATTACTATCGACCAACTCCCCCGCCAGCCCAGTCCCATCCCACTGCACAAACTCCGTGCCCCCATCCGCCCCACCACCAACACACCTCACAAGCCTGCGCCGAATATACCCGCGCCGATGACTGCCCCCCCACACCCCCAGCGTCCCATTCCGCGCCCCGGCATCCTGCAACGCGATCCACCACCCCACGGCGCTCGGCGGGTCCGTGTACAGAAACTCGCTATCCTTGTGCGGGTGCACGGCCGCGCCGATGCCGGGCTGCTTGCAGATGACCATGGACTGCAGGACGCGCGGGTCGCGGAAGCCGAGGTCGCGGGCGATGGCGGCGTTGCGGGCACCGGTGGATGGACATGGAGATGTAGATACGGACGTGTGTGGTGGTGGTGCGGGGATGGTAGCCTGTGCAAAGGGCGGGGAGAGGACATGTAGGGCGTGCCCGATTTTATTGATGGAGAGGGTTTTGGACTTGCGGAGCTGCGGCGGGCTGGAGTTGGGGATAAACGCGTCCGGCTCGAAGAAGAAGTGGATCTTGTTACCGGAGGTGAGGAAGTATTGGTCGCCGATGTGTTTTGCTTTGGCGTTGTTGGTGCTACAGTGGTCTGCGTCGTCGTCGGATTCGTCGCCGGTTGTGAAGCAGGTGAGCGGGTGCGAGTCGAGCGGGAAGTCGTTCAGGAGGGTGTGGGTGGTCTGGAGGAGGGAGGAGACTTCGTCGCTGCTGAGGAAGTTGGGGATTACTAGGTAGCCGTTTTCGCGGAATGAGGCCAGTTGGGCTGGAGTGAGGCCGGGGATGGAGGAGGGGGGCGGCGGAGGGGGAGGGGAAAGGGTTGCAGCGGACATGGTGGATGATGGCGGGGGGACGGGCCTCGTTGCTGTGGGTTTCGGAAGTATGCGAGGAATAGTGCTAGCTCATATAGCCGCAGGGCAAAGATGGTGAGTTATGTAGATATGAGCTTCGTGATGTTTTTTGAGGTCGATGCGGAAGTTTGGAGCCTGAAATATATCTCCAAATGCGGGGAGAGAAGTTAGGGCTAGGATCTTATCTAATCTGATCCAAGGTGTATTAATAATATCTGGAGAGCGGAAGGGCAGGGAGCAAGTACGGATGAGATGAGATAGAGATAGAGATAGATAGACGTAGATTCTGTTACTATATATGGTGACAAAATGCTGTTTACTCTTCCCTGAACTAAATCTAGGGTAGGGGTATGGTATCCCGAAATCCAAAATCTGCTAAAATCCAACCATAGAGAAGGTAGACCGAAAATAAACCAGTTCCCTCAAAAATAGGGGGTCATCATAGAAGAGAAAAGTAAACCCGGACGATAGTTAATTTGCATAGCACATCCATTCCATCATTAAGAGGGGGAAATGGTAAATCCGCAAGATAATTTACCTTCGATCCCGGAAGAGAAATCGTACTTCATTCCATCGTTAATCATTATTCAAGGGAGGGAGGGGAGGGTGGGGGGGGCGTTCAACCGTTCTACTTCCATATCCTCCACATATCATATCCATATCAAAAACTCCCACGTCCACGACCACTACCGGGTAGTCTAATCCTCCCCTCTCCATATCTCCTCTGGATCTCCTCAACCAATGCCGGAAGCTTGTACGTCCAATGACAAACCATCCCAGCGAGGAAGCCAATCCCATCGTTCTTAAACGCAACCAGCATGCCCACCGTGACCATCATGACAGTCCACCTCTGCTTCTTCTCCGCCTCGTTCAGACCGCTCCCAGGCAGTCGTAACCCAGACGCATTCCCAGAGCCTGGGTGTTTGACCATATCCCATGCGCGGGACGTATTCAAGCTCTCGCCCACACTCGCCAGCTCCAGCCCAGCTGCAATCACCATAACGCCCAGGAATGATTTGGGAAACCGCTGCAGCAGACCAACAAGCGTGTTTCCGAAAAACAGACCAATAATTAGCTTGAAGGCACCGAGGAGGATGATGCTCGCCCCGCTCCGAGCGCCGAATCGATATTGCGCCGCCAGGCCGCCAGAGCCATGACACACCGGCATGGCACCAAACCAGCAACCCAGTAGATTCATACCAGCAACGCTAAGCCCAATGGCCGTAGTCGACGGCGTCTGCACCTCCGGTAACAGATCACCAGCCAGATACACAACGGCCACGATAGAATTGAGCGTGGTCAGCGGGATCTGCCCAATGCCCGCGTCAACGATACCCACCCTCCACTCATCCCCGACAGGGGTAAAAACACCGGGCTTCCAAACGCCAAAGGACGGCAGCCTCTGATCCGGCGACGTCCCCAGCAGCACAAACGCAAACCCAAGCCCGACCACAAACACCACCAGCCCATACGGCACGCGCCGATAGATGCCGGTCAGCGCCAGCGCCACAAACGCCACAAGCATCCAGATATAATTATCCCCCCAGCTCGGCCCCGACCAGCCCAGCTGGCTCTTCAGAGACGCACCCGCAGATATGACTAGCGACAGGCCCGCGCCCACCTGGATCCCCTTGACGACGGGGGTGGGCACGACGCGCGCAAACCATGTCAGCAAGCCCGTGACGCTGAAGAGGAGGATGCAGGCGCCGACGAAGATGCCGGCGGCGGCGATCTGGCCCGGTGTGAAATGCTTCGCGATGGCGACGGCGGCGATGGCTTTCATGGGCTGGACGGGCAGGGGGATACCGAAGAAGAGGCCGGTAAGGATGTTGTAGAGGCCGGAGAAGAGGAGGGTTGCTGGGAGGGAGACGGTGTTGTTGATGGCGAGGGCGGTGAGGAGGGGGAGGAAGGTGCCCAGGTCGCCGAGGGCGCCGGAGAGTTCGGATAGGGGTTGGTTGCGGAGGGTTTGGAGGTTGTGGCGGGAGTGAGGCAGTTTGGGAGGGCGGAGGTTGAAGGGGAGGGGCATTTTGGCGGTTTAGATGGCGGCAAGAAGTGTTGGCTGGTGGGGGAGATGAGGGAGGCGCGGGTTTTGGAGGGATAGAGGAGATATCATGGAGGGAGATGAGATCAGGCTGTTGTGCTGATATTGTGGTGGTCGTTCGTTGTGGAGGAGGTTACACAGCGGATGTTTGGAAGATTGTGTTTGGTCGGGATTCAGGGGCTAAATATAATATTTATTTAAATAATAAGATTTCAAGTTGGGCCGGTTCAATATTATTTAGTTAAATATTTAAATATTTAACTAAATAAATAAATAAATAGTTGATATATTTTTTCTCGGATATTTATTTGTTTGAACAACCAACGCAATCCATAATAATTATTTATTATTTAGCTACTCTTGTTTCAGTTTCCTTTGTTCCTCTAAATATATAACTAATATTTCTGCATTTCTACAACTCGGAAACATGGCAAACGCAGCACAACATTCCATTGTGTGACCAATAATAACTATATCTGATTATACAGCTGCGATGACGGTGCGCTCTTCTTGACTCTTCCAACGACCAGGAGCTTATTATTTCCACCCAAACTGGGTTAATCTTCATTAATCCCAATGCTGTAACTATTGTATATAGTCCTATATATATATATATACTCAGGTTTATGTGTATAAATAAATAACTACTGCTACGAAGATGATCTCCGCCACCAGCGCCTTGATCATTTCTCAACGGTTTTTTCTTTCTTTTTCTATTTCTCCCACAAATTATCCTTGTCTTGTGCCGACCAAGGAATGGCGGAACAAGGATAGCCAGAAAAAAAAAAGGGACGGTTAGACAAAGCGAGCAGCGTTTGAGATCCCCTCCTACTCATCCATCTTTTTTTCTCTCCAGGCTGTCGCAGCATAGAAGCCCAGTGTTGCAAAGCGCGAAATTACCTGGTCCCGGTGTCCCTAGCTCAGCAAGCCCTGTGGTATAGGCTGATAATATGTACTCCTGCTGTCTATTTTCCTCGTGTGTGTGTGTGTGTGTTATGCATCTATTTTCCTTTCTTCTCGCTGGCTGGTGGTTGGCCAAAGGGTGAAGGATGAAGCCGGGTTTCCATATGAGCAACGGGCCCAAGAGCCGTTGTTGTTGTTGTTATTGTTATTGTTATTGTTCTGCTCGGAGAGGAATCTCCTAGAATTTCCCACTTCAATAGATGTCGTTTGTGTTATTCGTCGGACACATTGTGCGCGTGTTGTGTTGTGTGTCTCATATCATTCCCACAAATCCACCGAAGGGATTTCTGTCCGCGGTTTTTATAAACGCAATCTCTTTTTGATATCTTAAATAATACCGATATACCCGCTCATCGAGTCAAAGAAGTGCATATTATTCAAAAAAAATATTGCAGGGAGCTCTACTCACAACCAGTCTCATATTACTGAATCCTTACTCTCATATCAAACACTCCCTAGCACATCAAACCACCCCAACCGTGTCAACCCAAGCGATGTCGAAACCAACCATCCTCCTGGTCCACGGCGGCTGGCAATCCCCCGCCGTCTGGACCTTCGTGACGCCTCTGCTCGAGAAGGCCGGCTACTCCGTCTACCCAGTGGCCCTCAAGTCGCCTGGTATGGTGCCCGCCGCGCCCGACTTCTCCTGCGACGTGGATGCCATCCAGAGCGGCATCGAGGCCGTGCTGGACTGTGGAAAGGATGTGGTTGTGGTGATGCACTCGTACGCGGCTGTGGCGGGGTGCGAGGCGTTGAAGGCGTTTCATGGGGAGATGAAGGGCTATTCTCAGGATGGTGAAGAGGTTGGAGGAAAGGGGATGGATGGAGATGGCGAGAAGGAGAGAGAAGAGGAGGTTTCCAGTGCTGTGAAGAAGGAGACAGATGCAAAGGCGATGTGTGCTGGAGATGATACAGGACTAGCTCAATACATCCCTCGCCGCGGCCGGATTGTGCATCTGGCATTCATTGTTGGCATGGTTCTGCCTGTTGGAAAAGGCCTGTGGACACCAGAGCGCACAGAGCTAAAGGGTTTTGAGCTGAAGGTATTTATTTGACTTCTCATTTATACATCTCTTTCTACATCCATGTCTTCACATCTTCCCATGACCAACACTATAACTAAATAAACAAATCCCCAGAACGAACAAATCCGCATCCTCGACGGCCCTGCCCGCTTCTACAACGACCTGCCTCCCCTCGCCCAGCACTACTGGTCCTCAAAGCTGAAACTCCAACCACTCCCGTAAGGTCCCCCTCCATACATACATACATACATACATACATACATACATATATATATATATATATATATATAATACCTCTCTCCAAAACCCAACCCCACAGCTCACTAACCCAAAACCCACCAGCGTCTTCTTCTCCCCGCTCACCTACCCCGCCTACCGCCACTACCCCTGCTCCTATCTGATGAGCAAACACGACGGCGCCGTCCCCTTCAAGGTGCAGACGCGCATGGCCTTTGGTGCAGGGATTGCGCGGGACCGTATCGAGGTGCTGGAGGACGCCGGCCATTCGCCCATGATTAGTCGGCCGGGGAAGGTGGCGGGGTTTATTCGCAGGGCTGCGGGGGAGGGAGTTGGGGTTGGGCGGAGTCGGTTGTGAGTAGGTCGACTGGGATAGAGTGATATGGTGGGGTATGAGGATGTGGATGGATGGGTTATGTTGTATATGGGAAATGGGATGGGGTTATTGAATGGAACAGACTTTTTTATTTTGTTTTTGTCTTTACAAAAGAATAACTCACGTAGATAGATGGATTAGAAACACACAAAGAGTCAGTGTTAACGGAACTGGAAGTGGGAATGGAATTGTATTCGGGGTTATTACTGGCCTGTAAATTGGTATGTTCTTTTCTGTCAATATCACTCCTCTGCGTCCATATCTAGTAATGCATTTAGGATTAAGTGTTGCTACAGGGTTGACATCTCGCGCATGCACCACACTTAAAAATATGCGAAAGAAAGAACAGACATCTCAAATGGAGAACCAAAGAAGTAAACAGATGTTAAGATTAAGTGGATTAATTATTGGATTAGTCTATCCCGCTCTATGTCGCCAAAACAACTTTTTTTTTGAAAAATATTGGAAAAGGGGATTTAAAAATCGGGTGATCATCCCCTTGCCACCCCCTTTCTATCTCCTCAGTTATCTAAAATCCCAAACTCCAAACTCACAACGTCAAAGGACGGGGGCCCTGGATCATGCACCCAGCGCCATAGAAGAGATGGGAACCCCTTTTTCCGAAACAATAACAGAGAGAATATAGATACCAACCAAGGCCTATTACCCACGTTAGTAATACATGGCATCCCTGGCTCGACGAGCACGTCTAGGCGTCCGGATAGTTCGGCGTCGGTATTCCGGCCCAGTTTCGTAGTCTGGTTCGGGCTCGGGCTGCTTTGGTGGCGGTCTCTGCTGTGACGGGGCTTGGTAGTCTGGTGGGGATTCTTTCTTTGCAGGAGGGGTTTCTTTCTTCGGCGGAGGAGATTTTCTTTTTGGGGGGGGCTCGTAGTTTGGCGGAGATTCACGCTGCGGCGGGGATACCTTCTGCGACGGAGCTTGATAGTCTGGTGGGGATTCTTTCTTTGGAGGAGGAGATTCTTTCTTCGGGGCAGGGGATTTTTTCTTCGGTGGAGCCTCGTAGTCTGGCGGAGACTGACGTTGTGGCGGGGATTTTTTCTTCGGTGGGGCCTCGTAGTCTGGCGGAGACTGACGTTGAGGCGGGGATTTCTTCTGTGATGGAGCTTCGTACTCTGGCTCTGGTTTTGGGGCTGCTGGACGGGCGGTTTTAGGCTTCTTGACACTTTCGCCCGCTCCGGGCTTCGGGGGCTTTGCGGGATATGCAGGCGCCGCCGGCGCAGTCTTCAGGGGGGTGGCAGTGGCTCGAGGAGACGCGGCCGCGGGGGGTTCTGATGCGGCTAGAGGGGGCCCCAGAGCTGCCGATGGGAAAGTTTCTTTGGGTGCACCCCTCGGGGTTATAGTTTTAACTGTAACTGTGATATGGCTATATGCAGTCGAGAGCGGCCGGGGAGTCCTGTCTAGTGAGGCTGCAGGACAATCAACGCCTCCGCTACCGCAGTCATCCGTCGCGAGCGCCAGAGGAAGTGATAGGGAAAGGATGGCGATGAGTAATGAGCGCGTCATGGTTGATGGTTGCGAGGGGACCGGCGGGGGAGCGGTTTTCCTTTGTCTCCCTTGGTCAAACTCGGTGCAAAGCGATCAAAGTATAAATACTATAATTGATAGTACCCTGTCAAGTCAATGGAAGACCGCCCATTAACCGACGACGATGAGCCTGGATTAAAAGATAATCAAAGCTGTAGAAGCAGGGTATTATAGACAGGGGGGGTGTGCTTTGTTATTTATAATATATCATTCTCCCATGGGGAAGAATTCCTTCCCTGGAAAGGAGCCTTGTTTGTTGATAGACGCAATATGGGGTTTGGGCCCTGTTATCCCAACAAAACAGGACGAGAATATAACCAAACGAATATTCGCGGTGCATGATGCATGAAGAGCCTTCTGAGGTCTAGAACGATAGTTTATAAAGAACATCCTGCATGAGACGCGGTATAAGGGGCCCCATGGGCGCGAAGTTCTATTCATTCTTTTTCTTTTTTCTTTTTCTTTTTTTCTTTTCCTTTTTTCTTTTTTCTTCTTTTTTCTGTTTTTTTTATGGACCTGTTGGTACGACTCTAACCGCAAGTGTGTTGGATGGATGGACGCATTTGAGGTTGGTTGAAAGTCGGAGGAATATCTTCTTTGATTAACACCTGTATGATACCACTGTCCTTGAAAGAGAGACCAACTCCGCCAGAGCTACGCGCTCTAAATGTATCTGGGAAGGTCAGCTCATCTGCGCAAAAGCCGCCTGAATGCTATAAGATAAAGGGGCTTCTTCCTCAGCTTATGTATGGCTCTCTCGTTTTTCGGTAAGTTAGCAGCAACGAAATGCTCGGCTGGGGAGCGCTTAGGGAGATAGATGCACTGGAATTCCGGATGAAGTCGCTCAGCATTCACCTGCATACTATAACAGGTGCATGTTGGTGTATAGAGATGGATATGATATATCCCCCAGAGAATGTGCCCCGATTTGAATATCTCCCTCACCACCGAAACTATGGGACAAAGTCACACCCTCGGACATTTGGGATGTTTCAAGTTTGGTTCGCGGCAAATAGATATATATATATATGTGTGTGTGTGTGTGTGTTATCCCAGGCGAGCAGCTCTGCTTGTATGGCCAACAGTACCAATAGAATCAGGAATTGGGAATTGGGACTGGGTTGTTGCAGTGAGTAACTAGTTGTTGCATGAAGAAAATCATATTTATGCAGGAGATGGACAAAGAAACAAAGTAACCAAGTCTTAGTAAAAGTTAGCCAACTGGTTACATAACTAACTGGGGGCTGGAGCTGTTGGGTTCCGATAGAGTTAGGGAGTCAGAAATACTCAAGAATAATACATTGCAGATAACTAAGTTATTTACTTGAGCGATGATGAATGATGAAGTGGTGATTGATAGAATCTTCAGTTTCAAATATATAACCAACAATGTTGCTAGAATGAGTGAGTTCCCTAGTTATTTATTTATATTGTTAACCAATTACTGCAAAAAAAAAAAAAAAAAAAAAGAAAAAGAAAAGAAAAGAAAAGAAAAGAAATAACACAGCAGGGTATATCGGTATATCGATAATAGAAAATAGGTACAGACAACGGCTGTGGTGGTTTACAATCTGCTTTTCTCTTCTATTTATGCGCTCATCATACATTCAACATTGCTAGAAGAATATTTCATAACTCCCTATGCCATGCCTTTCCCCGGATCCAGAATTCTGGCAAAATGTGTACATATGTACATATATATAAACATCATCCATGACTAGTTAATACCTTCTCGAATACGCATTATCCCCTAAGTCCCAATAATTAAGAGTGCCATCATCAAATCCATCCATGGCCCAGATGGTCTCCAAGCTATGGTCTTTGAAAAGCTTCCGTAGGGCGTCCGAAGTGCTTTTAAAGAACGCGGGAGTCTCTCGCAGCAAATAATCTCGCTCAATGCATCTCAGCACTTGATCGCCATCCTTCTTGACAGCGAAGTCCGCATCGCCTCTATCCACAACGATATCGGCTACATCCTCGCTCCTGTGTCCATACATACTTTGCCCATCCTCATCAGAATCGTTTGGAGAGTCGATTTTTTTAACGAGCGTGAACCCGGCCTCTTGAGCTCTGTGCCAAAATTCTCCCTGTGGGGTATCTCTGCCCACATCTCTCCATTCATGTCGTGGCAGCCTCATCCGGACCCATCCATTATACGGCTTGAACTTGGTCGCTATGTAGTCCTTCCATTCAAAAGAACTTGGAGTATCAACCCACGCCCCTCCGTCGCCCTCGCTTGCACGCATCCAAAGCTGCCGGTAACCATCAGCTCCAAGGAGGGACCCGAAGCAGTCCGTGGTTTGAAAATCCGTGTAGGGTCCTCCGCGTACCTCGCAAAAGACCTCGAGGATGTCAAGCTGCAGTCCCGGGAATAGGCCAAGAATCGCACCAAGATGGAAGTATCTGACAGGATCCTCACCGACGTTGTCGTCGTCGTTGTCGTCGTTGGTGTCGTGCTTCCGATCAGATGAAACGCCGGTAGACTTTTCCTTCGAAGATAAATTGAATCCCACGGGGCAATGGTGGACTACCATGTGCCGAAGCTGTGAGACTTGTTCAGAGCTCATCTTGGTAAGAGTATTTATCACATCTGTGTTTTTATAGCAGAAGAGCTGTACATTTGGAAGCACGAGTGGCTCAGACTCGTGGTAGAGTTGATGGCAGACCCGCAGAATAGCCAATTGATCTTCTACGGCTTCATATGGGTATGTGAGCTTCTGGCGTATCCGGACGGATCGAAAATAGCAGGTAAAAATGAGCCTGCGGATCTCAGGGGGCAAGCCGAGGAGCGTTGGCGTACTAGGGCCCGTGGCGTGGCCATAGTGAGGATATTGGTGTCCAGGGGAAAATATACTGAATATGAGATGTGACATTTCATCTAAGATTTGTTATGAAGGAGTGTGAACAATATTTGAATGAATGATCAACGACCAGATCGACTGCGAAGACTCGCGGGTTCGATAACTATCGCCGACGCTAACTAATGACATTGGTTCTATCTTTAAAATAGTTAGTATAACTATAACTAGTTACACACTACAAAGACACCACCGAGCATCCTGACGTGTTGAATATAGCCCACTTTCATCAGGGTGCGCATATCATCATCACTCACCAGGCAGCAATTGTGAAGATGGACATTCTTGAAGAGTTTGTCCTTGTCTGTGAATGACCCTCCAGAGCAGGTTTCACACATTCTGCAGCCTGGCTTCTTGTTTTGAGGATTCTGAATGAGTAATTTTAAGCCGTGAAACTGAGACTTTTTTCTCTGGCAGCAGCACCAGTAAATAACTAGATGGTGTGTGGAAAAGTGAAGGGCACAATTGGGTGAGAGAGGACACATTCATCCTTAGAAATGATGAGGTTTCAACACTACCTACCTCTATACAACTCTGTGTCAAGAACATTAACAGTTAGCAGTAGATCAAACTAAGAGTATGAGCACTATTTAACTATCTATCATCAGTTGTTGAATGTTCTTAATCAATATATTACATGTTGACATAGTTTTTACTCTGGTTAATTGACAGGTAACTAACCAAAGCTCATTAATAGTAACATAAGGTCATATTTCTAATTCATCTCTCTTTCAAGAATTATACAATTACCTAATTTTGCAACTATGTCAGTAACTAATGTAAAAGATCAGAATTGTAAGTTAGTTTGAGCAGAATCTCTCATCCCGTATACTGTCTGGCAGCTGAACCAAGTGGCCTGCACTCAGCGCTACAACAACCAGGGAATAGAGGAGAAGGAAGATATGACCAGTGCTAATCTGCGCTACCTCAAAGCATCCAGTCTCATATCTATTATTGAACACTATAATTCCTATCAAGACTATCATGGCCTCTGGAGTACTCTGAGAAACAGATCACACTCTAAAGGAACAGGTGTTCAACCAGCCTCCGTTACACCACTCACTGCTTCTTCAGCGTCGATTACACTCTGTGTTGAAGCATCCTCACCCGGACAGGACAAGCGGAGAAAGCTGCACTACCCAGCCTTGGTCATTGTGACATTGAAATGCGTAGCTTCTAATACTCTCACCGAGGCAGCCATGTCCACTATGACGCTGAACTCCTAACCTAGCCTCCTCTCCCTCCATGTGTGGCATAGCATCAAAAAGCGCTCGTCGCATTGCGCCCCCTGGTATCACCCTTCCTTCGAACTTCTGATACGTGCTTCTGTCAATGTTTGCTTCCACTACCCCCTCCCCCAGGATTGAAGGGCGCTGATATGCACCCGAGCCGGAAGAATACTGCAGGTTCTGAACCATTCTGTCAGGTTGCCGCCTGGCATCAATGCTGAAACAATCCTTAGAAGCTGTTAGGCTTCAATGCCAGCAGAGCTTTTTCCTCTATCTCTCAAACTCACCAAATACTTGATAAGACAGTTGGGCTTTTTTTTTTTTTTTTCACCACAGACCGGTCCCCTTTTTCCCCACTACACAGGTTCCACGATGGTAGAATAAATTTCAAAGCAAGGCCAAAATAGCACCTCACGGCCTCACGGGTTCGGATACCATATCATCTTGTCTCAGATTGACTTCGCTTGCGTTTACTCACTTGTCATTCCACTCACACCTATGACCACGTCCGACATAGGGCTTGGGACGCTGTATAGGATAGGGGATACAGTTGCGCTTGGAAAAAGGGTGATCTGGGGTCGTACTGCGTTCGTGAGAGCCTGAGCGCTCTGGGGGTGCAGGATGCCTACCCTTCGGCGAGTCTGTAGCGGCGAACTGTAATAATCAGGGCTTCGATTGCAGTTCTCCGCAAACACTGGACCCTTGATCCATCCAACCGGATTTCTCCTCTACATAGCTTTCTTAAGAACTGTGAGGGGAACCATGTAAAATAGCCTGTCTGCTCTCCACAGAGCCAAGGAAGGGAACAGCGACATCACAGCAGGAAAGTATGAGGTGGAGGGTTCCATATATCCTTTGAGGCTGTGGCTCAATTGGGTTCACAAGGCTTTTCTGGCCTTCATCGGCGCACACACCACTTTGGGGGGTAGGTTAAAGTGCCTCGGGCCGAAACCCATAACTTTCCTAGCCGCACAGCGCTTCGTGACCACCAGGAGATTTGTTTTCCGGGAGAAATAGGATATAGGCAATAGAATACAAGAATATAAAGCTTGGAAAGCGCTCTCTTCTCTCCAAAATGTCCGTCACTCATGGGCTTTTTTTTTCAGTTAGAAACGGGATTGAAGGAGCGCGATCTGTGCTTGGAATTAAAAGACATGTCCTCCCTCCCTTCAAATAGTATCTCCGTGTTTAGCCATTTTTCTGCTTCCACTCATGAGTCTCTTTCTCTGTGTGCCATAGACGCATCAGATTCATCACGTTGCAATCACCTGTGAAGAAATCATCTCCCATGAGTGGTACGCTGGCGTGGTGCAGCTCAAGCACCAGTTGCGGCAGACAGAACGACTTTCAAGCTAGTTGCTCGGCCATTCAACCAGGGCCCGGAGGAGAACGGCAAGCCCAGGTCGGTATCTAGATAAGGCTTTTGGAGGTACCAAACGAGCGGTTATATGGGGTTGATTTGATATCGAGGGTGGAGCGCTGGGCAGCCTGAATGGATGGGATATGATTCTGCACGGCGCCTCTTGCAAATAGACGCATGTATGGAGTGAGTGCATGACTACACAGTAGTAGTAGGTATCAGATCCGAGCCCGGACGTCCTCGGCGAGTGTTGTGTTGTTGACCTAAGTGCTCAGTGTCTCACGCCGTCCACCGGTTCGATTCTGAGAAATAAGGCCGGCAACACCATCGGCGCCACTATTAAGCCCGAGTTTAATATAGCGCGGAATGCCGATCTCTGGCTCGGCGTTGATAAGTGTGTTTATAGCGGGGTGATGTTGGTTGACCTGGAGCAGACTTGCAGCTTGCATTCCCCCACCTTTAGGGATTGACCGATTTGGTGGCTCCAGTAGTTAGGTGCAGTGAGTTCAAGTCGAACTCTAGTTATATTCTCCCGGATATGTTGGGGAATTGGAGAAATCGATCCGGTTATTTTCAGACAACTTTTGTAGCTCACCACATTGCTCCTCTCGCCACTGTGTCACTTCTGGAAGCAGACATCATTTGTAGGTAGAGGCAGAGCCAGAGCCAGAGTTAACCTCTTAGCAGTATTGACAGCTCTATATCAGGCAATATGAGTAGTTACATCAAGGAGAAATAAACTAACTTGTAGATAAGGGACTGACTCTTCTTCATCCACCCAATCTCCCGCAAGAAAAATGATGAGCTCGGCCGAAATATTCACATATCATCCATCATATCAGCATATCAACATATCAATCGTTGACAGTCATCCCTGTCCCAGGCGCGAGTCCCTTGGTACAGCAGTAACTCTAGCGCACTCGCTCGCCATGGACTATTTAAGCGGAAGCCAACCCCGCGAACACTTGGGATATCATTATTATAGGGCAAGGAGAATGAACCCCGCTGGGAATGAAGAATAATGTCTGCTTCTCGGAGCCAGCGAACTTCAAGGCAAACTAACAACCTTCCGTGAAACCTGATAAAAAAACTCGGACTCGGAGTAAATACGCCGCTCGCCTTGTTCGCCGATCATCACCAACGTTGCAGACGGGGAACTGGGCAAACTGTAACGGTTGCAGCGTACACGTCCCAGCAGCGGCCAGTTCGCGGTGTCTCTGCCTCCACAATATAATACTGGTCCGGTCCATCATGTCTTCTGTCTACACTGCGTCCGGGAGGCTCCATAGGACTCCCCAGACCCCGTCCACATCGGGGCTCTGGTTATGACTATAGTATGGGTAACAGTTATAGCCATGGTCATTCCTATGCTGTCTCCACCGGCGAATGACGATATACGATCAGATGCAAGAAACAAATTAACACATAAACCGTGCCCTGGCCGACGTTGAGTTCGTGTGTTGCGCTTCCTCCTCCGCCATTCAACCTTTTCTTACAAAAAAGGCTGACCATGCACTTCCATTACCGATCCGGGCTCCGGGCCTTTGTTCTCGCCCTCCTTGCTCTTGGCTTGGGCCAGTCGACGCGGCTCCCGAGTGCCGTCCGCCGCCAAAGGTCAACAAGGTTTGGCCTCCTCCGCAATAGATCTCGCCGCTGGGCCGGGCGGTCTCACTCCGCGGTCCCGTCACTATTGTAACTGGGGATGCCGAAGACAAGGCCACAATAGATGCAGTGAAGCAGATTGTCATCTCTGCTGGCGGTACTCCCTCAGTCGCAGACTCCTTCGATGGCTACCAAATCTTCATCGGCACCAATGAAAGAAAACCCGGACGCCCTCTGCCGTCGCCAAGGCACTAGGTGGTAACTAAGTACGCGGATGGCCTTGACGCCGATGGCTACCGCCCGAGCATTGCTCTCAATGGTGCGGATAAGCGCGGCACTTACTACGCGGCACAGACCCTTCGCCAGCTTGTCGATGGCGACGACCGTGTCCCCGGTATCCAAGTGTGCGACTGGCCGCTCATGTCCATCCGTGGCTCCATTGAGGGGTTTTATGGCATTCCCTGGTCGCATCAGTCGCGCCTCGACCACTACGTGTTCTACGAGAGACATAAAATCAACACCTACATCTACACTACCAAGGATGACCTTAAACTCCGCCATGAGTGGCGCGATCTTTACGAAGGTGACGCCCTTGAGCAGCTCAAGGAGCTCGTAACCACTGCGAATGTCAATCATGTGGACTTCACCTATGCTCTTTCCCCCTGTGCTTCCATCTGCTACTCGTCCGAAGAGGACTTTAATATTACTGTCACCAAGTTCAACCAGATCTGTGACCTTCGTGTCCACAGCTTCTACATTGCCCTTAATGACATTCCCCTCCAATTCCACTGCGAAGAGGATAAGCAAAAGTGGGAGAACAAGGGTAGTTGGCACTGGCTGGCGGAAGCCCAGACTTACTATCTGAACCATGTTTCAGAAGGAATACATTGAACCCCTAGGTCTCCTCAACCTTGAGACTGTCCCCACCAACTACACTGGCAGCCAGCCTGATCTGTACAAGGAGAAGTTTGGTACTACCCTGGACAAGAAAATCTGAGTCCAGTGGACTGGCGAAGGAGTCTTCAGCAACAAGATCATCATCAAGAGCATCAATTGCACTCTCATGACCTACATAACCGAGAAAATGTTCATCTGGGACAACTTCCCAGTGAATGACAGCAAGCATGACTGCCTCTTTCTCAACCCCCTCACCGGCCGTGCTGCTGATCTGTACAAGTACCTCCTGGGCTTCACCTTCAACATGATGATTGAGCCCTATCCCTCCCTACCCACTCTCACCAACTATGCCAACTACATGTGGAATGAACCCGCCTACAACGCCGATGAATCAATGGCCGCAATTCTGCAGGAACTCTCTGGTGACAACAAACAAGTCCATGAGGCCCTTGTTGCCTTCTCCGATCTCAACCAGAACTGGCCCTACTGTACTCCAGAGGTGCACTTGCCCATGCTCGACAAGGACATCGGGGCCTTCTGGGCCGGCTGGTCCAACTGTGGCAAGAGCAATGATGGCTCCAAGCCGCTCTGCAAGTGCCTGCAGCTCCTCTCCAAGCTGCTCAAGATCATGCCACGCATGGTCATGAAAGAGTTTGCGACAGACATGGAACCTTGGATGATGGTTGCGAGCCAGTGGGTCAAGGCCTGTGAGCACCTGATTGACATGCTCGACGCGCATGATAAGGGCGAGGAGAAGAGGGCGGAGTGGGAGTTCAAGGTGGTGCAGGAGTGGATTGAGAAGATGAAGTAGAAGACTGTGGACAACTGCAACAAGAAGGGTGAGAACTTGCCAAATTCAATTGTGCCTCATGTTGCTGAGCAGGTGTTCACAGGGTTCCTTGGGAATGCTACAGCTATTTACAAGAGAGGGTTAAGAAAGGGTGGCTGATTTTGCAGTTTGTTGCTGCTGTACAGAGCTTGCTAATTTTCTTTCATTCCCTTCTTTGATGATCTATGTATATGTACATTTTACTCCTAGATATGATGTATAGATTGCTCTTTATATTGATATATATATATTTATAGTTGACTTATAGTCTAATTCTCCGCTCCCATCTCTTGTGTTGTGTTAAAGAAAACATAATAAAAATAAAGGTAAGAACAACAACAACAACAACAACAACAACAACAACAACAACAACAACAACAACAACAACAACAACAACAACAATAATAATCCTAATAACAATAATACTGCCAGGAGAACTTCTCAAAAAACATACCAGAACCTAGGAAAGAGATTCGCGCTTCCCGCGTCTAGTCATACTTAGACGCGAACTCGACTTCAAAGGCTCATTTTCCTCCTGCTTGAACACAAAATCCATTCTTTATCTTATTATTGAATAACAGGCCATGAGAACTTTTACCTCCCTAACAAGGTACTGCTGCATGAAGGTACCATCGGGACGCTGCCGAAGGACGGGCAAACATATTGGCGGTAGCTGCGTAGTGTTGGGCGCATTTATTTATTTGGGTTCTCGACGCGCCCGAGTGTGTCTAAGAGTGGTATATATAATAAGACCTTGGGGGAATCTCATGGCCAATGAATTGAACGACTGCGAACGGAACTGCGAAAAGAAACACGCAGATTATTTCTCAAGAAAGCAGCTATTGCGTTTTGTTTGATACGGAGTCCAATAATGTATCAAGCCCTCATCTCCTGTGCCAGGGAGTCAGGCAGATAACCAGCTGTCCTAGTTAAGGGGTCGCCTAATCTAACGTTAGATTGCAAATTTTAAATGTGTTCAGTTGTATTTAACGCTGGACGAACCGCGGTGATCAGCACTTTGCTTATAATCATGTCAGCATCAGTGTCAGCGCGCTAGATCTAACCGTTGGAGACCTCCGGTTTGTGTCAAAATGCGAAGCGGGCGGAAATAATCACATTGTACAGAGTACTTCTGTGCTGGATGCAGCTGTGCTCTACTAGAGACTAGTAAAATTAACCTGACTTAAAACTATAACATTACTCTGTATCTAAACCGAAAATTTCGGCTAACGTTTTACGCGTTTTTTGATACCACCAACCAGCCAACTAGCCAGCGAGCTCTGCCCTTGCATCAACCATGGAGAAGGAGCATGCAAATTTTTTTTTTCTTTTTTCATTTTAAATATACAAATATACAAATAAATGAATTAAATAAATGAATAAATAAAGAAACAAAAAAAGTTGAACTATGCCCCTGTCACTCCCTATGAAAGCTTCGAGCTCTCGAACTTAGTTTGGAGTGACTTTTCTTAGACGGCTTGCATCCCACAAATGATATTTGAGGGGTTACATTTTGTATATATCCAAAGGTATGGTATCGTTTTAAATAACAGAATCTATGAGAATCTATCTCGTGGACCATCTATATGCAAGAACATACGGAAATATGGATATCAAGAAAACAATCTCAGAGGAAAAAAAAAACGAAAAGGAAAATGCAACAATATAGCAAGCTGTACAAAACAGCAATGCTAAAACCACGACCAGCGCTTGTATAACCAAAAAAGCGCCCACAGAAAACCCAAACCGTAAACGCCAGATGCATATATAAACATTTCAACCACCACTCCGTGCTCAATAGCCCGGCGATGGGGTCGCAGCATCAAATCCGCAGTCCCTGCGCGGCTCGAGCCCTCTCAGGCGGTTGGCGACGTCGCTGACATAGCTGGGGGTTCCGAAGTTGACAATCTCCAAGCGCAGGGGGTCAACAACGCTGCCGCTATTATAGCAGCGCAGCATGGGGCCGTACTGGCGGCGATTCTTCTTGAAGCAGGTAGACAGGCCCTCGGTTTGGCCGGTGCCTAGTGCGCCGGCGAAGATCATGGCTCTAATTGTTGAGTCCGGGCAGCCGCCGAAGGGGGTGCCGAGACAGCTCGGGCTGCCCAGGGCCTGCATGAGGCCGGGCGTCACGCCGTCGCCTGCGACGGTGCGGACGTTTCCTCTGGATTCTTGCATCATGATGGTAAGGAAGATTCCTCTGTAGTGGGGTTTGAATGTTAGCTACTGTGTCCGTCTGGCGCTTTGCTCTGGCAGGTTTGTTGTAAATACGCCAAATGGGAACGTGTTTTAATCAATTGAGACATACTTATCAATTCCCGCCGCCGCCGCAGCTTCGCCAATATATTTCTTAATCGCGTTCATCTCAGACTTGCTATTGAACTTCGACATGACTGGGCTATTAATGGCCCATAGCTCATTGAATGAAAGCCATTCCTCAGCCGCTGGGAATTGCGTGCCCTTGTAGCATACAGGTCCGGCTGCCTGTGATTGATACCGGGGCAGAGAACGCGCGCACTTTCCAGTTTCGTACCCGTTGGGCTCTCCTGGGCAAGCTGGAGCTTTATTAATTGGCGAGGCTGCAGTCAGGCTCAATGCCAGGACCTGGAGGGCGAGGATCTAAGAAAGCTGGGAGTTAATAATACTACTTCGACTAAGGGAGTGGGAGCTCTGGAGAGGTAAAAGACATACCGATTTGAGGAGCATGGTTAAGTTGATATTTAATGATGAAATATATATGAAAAGATATAAAAAAATTTGGAGAGAGAACTTTTGGGGCGCGAGCGAGTCTTAAATATGTTCACATCCAATGGGTATCAAAGATGTATGCTAGAAATTTTTTTTTGAGGCGTAGACAATGGATTTATAGAGATCGGCAGGGGAGCTTTCGAGATGCAGATCAGATAATGAACTATGAAATGTTGGTGTTTAGAGTGATAGATATTCCGATTCGGTGGGGGTAGTCGGGGAAGTTTATATAGGCGAATCTCAGCAGCAAATCCACACCTGAGCATCGCGTGCGTCTCTAATAATAATAAAGCACAGTTCACCGTCTAGCTCCTGTTATTATCGTATTGCACATTTAGCTCATTAGGGAAATTATTCTGGCCCTCCATGTTGGCGGCCAGGATGTTGGCTCGAGCCAGGGACATGCTCGGTTCTCAGCCCCCACGATACGGCCCATGACATGGCTGCAATTCGAGCTGACGGGGCCAAAGGGACAGCCATACCGTTCCCTCAGAAGAAGTTTTGCGACCCTGAATACGGAGAGCCCCCAGATTGGCCCAACGAAAACCCCGAAGGATCTCTTTATGTTCCTTGCATGTCCACCCCACCCACAGCCGCAGAGCGCCAGGCATCTCGCCCAGCAGACAAAAAAATCCGCACTTCTTGCATTCTCCTCCACACCCACCGCGTCCGGCCAAAAGGCCACACGAGGAGAGGAACAACGCGATTGGCCAGCCAAGCAGCAAATTTCATGATTTGGTTCTGACAAGATGTTTCTTATTATAGACTCTCGCGGCTCTTAGCCCCAGGTTAACCAGATTCTCTTGGCAGTACAGAGGACTGTATCTTAGCGACGGCGGTTGATCAGAAGAAGAGGAGGGCATCAGGGGAATCGCGGGCACTTTCAATATAGGTGCAACAATAACAATAGCCGCCTGCTTGGGGTAAGGATCAATTCATCCTTCTAACTATCTTGAGCAGGATGAATAAAAAAAGAGAAGCGAGATAAGATAGAATTGACCGGGAACTGGGGACAATTCTGACACGCAAAGCCGCAGTGCAGTTGTATTATTCCTGGCGCTTTGGCAGTGGCTTGGTTCCTTGTTCGGTGCGGGGCCACAAGGGGGCATCATACTGAAAACGAGCAGAGTCTGCTGTCAAATGAAATCCCGTTTCCCACCAGCGAATGGATGCTAACTGAAGCCAGTTAGTTAGACTCAAGCAGCCAAGATATTTCCAGGCACCGCCATTGGGGCTTGGAGGGTTTTGTTGAAGGAACCGGGTGGTGGTGCCATCTGCTCACACCAGGAGTACATAAATTCGGGTTCGATGCTCGCGTCTTGCCCCTTGCTCACGGTGACAGTCTGAGAGGTTGCTTTTGAAGAAAGTATTTTGATGAACATGTCCCTGTCAAAGTTGAAGACTCTCTTCTCTCCATTTAGAATAAGAACAGATCCTCAGCCGGCTACTGAGATAATCAGGGACATTTTGCAGTTATAATTAACTGTGTATTTTATTCTTCAACTTGACCACAGCGATGACGATTCTAAAAAAATAGAATAAAAAAGAAAAAAGAAATCCTTGGAAATTCCTTGATTTCCTTCCTAGCCACCAAATAGCATCAGAATAGTATTAATTATTCTTGGGAACCATCATTTGGTAATTGGAGTCGACACTTACCTCTATTCCCCCCTTCACTGCATTTTGGGACCAGGGGATAGGAAGAATATCCGAGGAACGCTGCCAAAGATGGAGATTACTGCCATGGCACACTGTACCTACATATTGCATCCTCTCTCTCGTGGAATCAGTCCTTGCCGTGCCACGAAAAATAAGTCGCGTTTGTCAACAAAGAAAAACTGCAATCTGGGGTCAGTTAGAGCTTTACGATCGCGTTGATCGGACAATTGTCGTTCGCTGCACACGGCGCCCCTGTTACCGGGAAAAGACAGTACAAAGTGAACCTGAACCATCGCCCAAGAAATGGTATATAACGTCTGCTGTATGTGAGATGCTGCTTACATTGCGTGTTGTGCCATATTCATCTCTCCATCGCCAGCTCTGCACCGTACACATCTTGGTGATGCGATGTGACACGATCACACCCCCCTCAGGTACGCACTCCGCATTCTGTCTCATATCCCAGTATCTGGGAAACACTTCCTTTTTGCTGTTTTCAGTTATACGTCGAAAGAAGCATCAATTTCACCAGCGTCAATTCAGTTATTCTATTCATCCACATTTACATACAATCCCCCGCCACCAGCGGATATCATATTCAATCCGACAAGCGAATCAGCAGAGCCACTGGAGGGCCCTAGATTTCATCTAAGATACACTGACTTAACCCTTGTCATGAGCGCTTGTTTTGGACTTCAGTTACAGAAGGTGTGCTGCTCCACACACCAGAAACGTCCTAGTTCATATCTATCACATTGCATGAACATCTGTCTGCCTCCAGATCTATATAAGCCAATAACCAAGTGCGCATGATCGAACCTCTTTTCCACGGTTAACTATCATTTGAGCCCTACATTGCCTGTCGGGACTTGGGGAGAAAAAATAATTACGACTTGCCTTCCCTGACTTGATTAGGGCTCGCGGTTTCGAATGGCTTAACTAGATGCTATTTGACCCTCAAACCCTCTATACATCGCTCTCTGCGATAGACCACAATGCATCTGCGCCATTGCTCGACTGAAGATAGAGGTCCCCCTGATGCCGTGTCGCTAATGATGCGGTTGAGATGGCAGAAAATGCCGTTCCCCTAATGGGGTTTCAGAAGGCATCAAGCTACATAGCCCAGATGGCTTAGAGAGCCTTGATAATGCTTTTCAATTCCGACATGTAATGTACTATCACTCTCTTGCCCTAAAGAATTTCTCCTCTTCTGCATTCCAGTTGATATTGGGAAATTTAGCATTAGTGGTTTAATCCCCATTCCATTCATTCTGTACATTGTATACCTAGCAGTTGAAATGTGCTGAGAGAATGATTTACAAGGCCTCTTAGATATCTTTTACGGTGGTGATCGAATATAATAAACCTTACCGAGCTTCATCATCACTGTGAAACAACTTGGAAAAGGGTAGTATTCAAGAGTTCATTTCTAAGGATGGACCACCTCAGTGTTCTCGCTCAGAAGAACGAAACCAGCCCCGCTTTCTGTTACCGCCTTATTTCTTGAGAGAAAAAAATAAAAAAATTCAAGACCTCTATAGAATTTTCATTGTGCAGATGTGAGACTCAGCTCTGACACACACTTCTCGAGCTATAAATTTTGCTACAACTTGTATAAATTGTAGATCAGGTCAGCAGTTCTGCAGAAATCAGCAGAATCAGTTAATAATATGTGAATATGTTTCAATTAACATGACTAGCTTGTGAGCTAGCTGTGCTCTGAGAAGAGAAAGAAGCTCAATCTCAGTTATTATTATAAAAACAAATTCTATATTCTTAGCTAGTAACTAACTTCTCTATTTATTATTAATCTCTGTTATCATCTATTCAGATTAGTAAATAAAGAATGAACAGTAACAGTAATAATAAAGAAGAAATAGAGATTAGAAAAGAGAGATATTAAATTTTATAAAAAGTACTTTTATAGATAAGATGAACAGAAGAGTTTTCAAGCTTTTTTTTCACATAGTAACTAAGTAACTAATTAAAATGAAAAGATGTTTAATTTCTCTTTTTTTATAGAAAAATTAACTTTTCTAAGTAAAATACTCTGTAATATAATCTCATATAATATTATATATATTTTATCAAATTTATAAATTTTATTAAATAGTCAGCTCTAGACTAGTTACTGAGACTATAAATTTCATATTTAATCTTATTTAATCTGATCTTATATATTTCTTAGCATGAATTTCACTGAGACTAATTATTAAAAAAATATACAAAGTAACTATTTATCAGATCTTAAAATAAAATCATGACTTAGAAAAAATAAAACAGTAATTTCATTTAATTTTATTTAGTTTTATTAATAAAGTTACTATTTTTAGACATTTTAAGATTTTTTTTAGACTATTTTTAATTTTTTAAAAAGTAACTGTAAGAGGTCTGTGATTCAAAGATTGCTTAAGTCAGTATATAATTACAGGCGTACGCTGGCTTCTTATATACAGTATACTAAATTAATTAGTGACTGCTATGACCTCTTTACATTTATAAGCATGTTTAAAAGTGACTGTGTTATTATTCAGCAGTTATACATTCTTCTGAATCACATTCTCTCTCATCAGATTCAGTCACACTCATATGACTATAATATAAGCTCTAGCTTTATGCAGATTAGTATGCTGCTAGTATTTATAATTAAATATTCTATCTCTGATCTGACTAGTGTTCTGCTTAGACTGGCTACTGAGACTATAAATTTCACATTTGATCTCATTTAATCTGATCTCATACATTTCTTGATGTGAGTTCTACCAGAATCAAGCCTTAAAAAAATCTGAAAATCAATCATTTCTGAGAGAAATAGCATGAAAAATGACCAGATTTAATTCAAGAACAGTGAAATAAGAGTAATTTCTCAAAATAAACTATGAAAGATAATCATTCTTTCAAAATCAGAATGAAACTAAGACTGAAGATTAAATTCAGTCTCATTTAGTTTATTCAGTGATTACTTATATAATCAGAATTTGATAATAATTATTAATAACACTTATAAAATAACTAAATACATTCTTATATAAGTTTATTCTTCACTTTCTTATGAAAACTACACTTCTCTGATATACTGTGATCAGAGATATTAAACTATCTGATAATTTCATATTTTATAATCATGAGTTTCTTGATTATTTCTTCTTATAATTGTTTTTAATAATAGTAATAAATATCTCAGTTTGAGTTAAACTTTCACTTCATTCTTATCTCTGTCAATAAAATGTCAGGTCACGTGATCTGGCTTACTAATTCTTCCATCATATAACTTTTCACAAGCTAGCAACCTTTCAATCCCACAAGCTTTACATCTCTCACAGGTTATGAGACCTGTTTTGTATGAAATCACTGTCAATTCAGAATTTCTTATCAATATAATCATTATTTAACTACTGCTTCATTTAATACACTCTTCAGAAGTTAAAATTGTCTTATTCTATCAGTATTAATATGTTTGAGATCTTGATAATTAATAATACTACTGCTCACTTAAAAAAGAGACTTGCAGAAAACATATCACATTTATAAAAAAAAAAAAAGCAAGAAAAGAGAACAATATTGATAAGAATTCAATAAATAAATATTAAGATGATAAATTCAATATAATCTTATTCACACACATGTTCATAATCTCATGTTCTTTTCACTGAATCAGTTACAGTTAATAATGATGATTCTTTACACTTATACTCTGTCAGTGAACATTCTTCTGAAGCCTTTGAAAGCTTCATTGATGAATGCTCTGAAACACTCTCTTAATTCAAAGCTGGTTTGAATACAGCTTCTGACATGATCAGATCAGTCTCTCAATCTACTCAACAGCTTGATAAAGCTGGTTCTCATAAAGTTAACAGTTCAGGTAAAATAATATCAGATCAACAGATGAAGCATCTCAAGATAATATTTAAGATGAAGAAGAAGAAGTGAAGAGTTCTAGAACTTAAACTACAACTGAAAAAACTCTGTCAACAGAGATTCTCTACAGATTAATCACAGAATGTTAATAATCATTCTGTTATCACATCAACAGTCTGTACAGCCACATGAAATTCTAATCTTAGTGAAAGATTAAAATTCAATCTTTATAAACTGAATAGCTATGTTGACAAGATAATCTCTCAATTCAAGAAAGATATCAAGAATACTGTGAGATTAAACAGTCTAACTGACATATTCAATTACACTATATGAAGCATCTTCATGAAATTGAAACTGGTTAATGCACAGTGTTAGTATATAATAGAGAAATAACAGACTCAGAACTCTCTATAAAAAGATGATGAATAAGCATTATTCTGAGACATCAGAAATCAGTAACTCTACACATTCATCTTGAACTTCTTGAGTACAGGTGTCAGATCATGTTTCTTCAAATATGATGAAAATCAGATTGCTTATACTCTATGAAATGCAATTAAACAGGAATACTCTGTCCTCAAAACACAGTTATGCTGTGAGACAGTTCTGGAATTCATGTCTCTTAGTGACACACAGATCATCAATCTACACATATTCTTTGACAAGTTTCAGTTCATTATCATGAAATTGAAGATGTTGAATGCTTCCTTCTCAGATATGTGAATATTTGATATCTTCTACTCAGTTCTACTCAACAATTAAAGGAATTATGTTCAGAAGAAGATAGAGGAGATACAGGATTTCAAATCCACAGCTGTGATATTGAATGTTGATCTTCTTATGAAGGAGATCTGTTCATGACTTGATTCTTCAAAAGATAAAAAGAATCTACAGAATACAGATTCTGCAGCCAACACCGCTACAACAGATACAATGACCACTACATCTATCAATTCTAATAACAATACATTGAATTCAGCCCATGAAGGCCGCACTGGACATGGTCATGACAGTTCACAAGGAGGCTCCCGAAACCATCAGAGATCAGAAAATCCACCTATATGTTCTGAATGCGAGAGATCTCACT